TATATATATATATATATATATGGGGGAGGGGGGGGGGTCTTTAAAAGGAGAAAAGAAACTATTGATAAGTAGTTCAACTTTTATTTTACCCTTTTTTTCTTAAATATGTACAAAACTAAATAAATTAAGTTAAAAATAAATAAATAAGTAAATAAATACGAAACTTCTAATAAAAGGATGAGAAAGAAAATATGGGAGCGGGAATATTTGAATAATTCAGTGGTGTAAAGTGCAAACAACCGGCAAGTAGAAGGTTCGGTTCCCGGCAAACTCCAGCTCCCGATATATGTTTTTCTCTCCGCTCTTAGCACAATTTTGACAGATGTGTGATTAAGACTACGTTCTCTGTGCGCTCATGTGCTGTAAGCGTCATCCTATCTTCCTCGAGCAATGTAATGAACAATATAAAGATAGAATGACGCACTTACTAAGTGCGCGAGCGCCTAAAGAGAGCGCAGCTTAAAGATTACTTTTAAATGAGCAATATTTTTAGCATCACGTTTACTGATAAATGATAAGAGAAACGATAAATAGTAGTGATTTGTGATTATTTGACTGTACAATTTGAGGTGGAACTTCAGAAAACGAGTTCTGGCCAAGAAACATCCGTCTCAAACCACCGTGCGCTTCCATGCTCGTCTTTGCACGGACAAAACGCCTAGAGATTTATGCGAACTATAAATTACGAGAAATCGTGTGTACGAGATAATTTACATACAGAGACGATAAGTCGGTTCGATTGAAAGTTACGCTTACGTACGAGGTCGTTGGACGTTCACTCTCGAATTTGCGGAGCTACGTCGCTGCCCTCCGAGTCGCACTGCCAATATGATACAAACGTTTCCCCGCTCGCGTTCACGGCCGAACAATTACCGTCGTGAGTTGAAATCCCGGCGAATTAACACGGCAAATGAATAATCCGTCTGCGCGGTCACACACACAGGACAAATACCGGGTAGGCCTCAAGGTGGCCGCCATGGCATGGTGTTTGCCTTCCGAGCGGCAATTCACCAGTCTCCGCCTGTCACCGTTCACCCTTCATCATCCGCTTCTACTACTCTAGCACCCACGCTCATTATAGGTGATTACCACCGCCAGGTTGCCTCGTCTGTCTGCCTGTCTGCCTGCCTTTTCTCTCGACGTGCTTTTTTCCCGGAGCACAGTCCGTCGGAGTCCCTGAGGTGGAACACGCGGGCAAACTCCTCACGGACTGTGTCCGTGCTCCTATCTTGCGTTCGCATGTTAAATATTGTCGTTGTCCCGCGATAAACCGCGTCTCATTGTATCTCGTGACGCATGTTTCTACCTGAAACGTGGCGAGACACACCGATCTCTCGCCACAGTTTTGTGGATAGGATTCACCTCATGCTGCAAACGCCTCGAGGCACCGTATGATGGTCTTTTTCAGTCAGATCTTTTCTTTTTAAGCGCTCCAGAGCGTCTGCAGCTTCAAGTAAATCCTATTCTGTATATGTATCGTATACGGTCAGACACAAAATAGCTTGCGACACTTTTTTTTTTATAAGTTTCAGGACGCATCCCGTATTTAATATGAAAGAATTTGTCTCCCAGTAATTTTCAGCAGACACGTTTTCCTATTGGATACGAGATGCGTTGCGAAACTTATTAAAAAAAAAAAGGATATTGCAATATGATCAATCACCAAAAGGTTGCAACAATTTTTTTCATAAGTTTCAGAACGTAGTATCAATATAGATGTCCATTGATCTATTCATTAATACAATGCGGTCACAGAGTCGTATGATCGCGGTCGTTCAAGTCACTCCACTTCAAATTCGAGCGACTTTTTTGATCCAGTCAACCAATCACTGGAGAGCGACTTTCAGTCCAGTCAACCAATCACTGGAATTGGAAATTAACCGATTCGAACGACCACGACTATACGATTTTGCGATCTCGTTGTAGACTCATCTTTTCCTTTTTTTCACGAGTCGTAGCCCTAAAATTATATACACGCAACGAAACTTTAGTATCGATCGGATCAACCAATCGCATTCGAGAGCCTCCATATCATAATCTCATGGTATCGAGCGTTCTTAAACGTTATTGGCCGATTCGCTCGATTCGTTGCTCAAGTTCCATCGCTTACGTTTCTCTATGTGCTGTGTGATGTTCACTCGTCTCAATCGGCGCTTTTCTCTCGGGAGACACTTCTACATTTCACATTGCTTTCGCTTTTAAATAGTTATCGCAGCCCTCGTAGATATCCATCAACAATAACTGGCTTGATCGTTACTTCGAGGCGGTTTGTTATCGATGGAAATATTATTTTCGGAGCATATGTAAGGTTGTTTAGTGGCACACATACTAATAAACCTAAGGGCGCTGCCGTACAACAAATTATCGCTGCGTATCGCTTTATCAACCATACTGAATCATCGGAGCGGAATCCTCATAACGGTGTTATCGTTGCAGGTGGCACGTCAGTAGTGACGGAAACGTCGAAACCGGTGACCACGGTGGCAGCTGCGAGCCCCGTGGTGGAGAAGCCACCGTCAACAACCGCTGTCGTCGCGACTGCCACGCTGAAGACGCCCGCGGCGATCACCGCGCTCAGCAGCCCGCAGCCTATCGTCAAGCTGGTTAAGTTGTCTTCTACGTCCACTACGGTAACTACGTCCTGTGATATCACGAACAATCAGGAGCAAATCGTGGAGAAGGCTAAGCAGGTGATTGTCGAATTTTTCGCAACTGAAGTTTTTCCTACATCGATATTGGGGCCGCGTTCCGATATTCACTACTAAAAAAATCAATAGTTCGTGTTATACCGTAAGTATCGCCGTAAGTTATACCGTAATTTTCAGCACTGGCGGTGGATGTAAAAATATAGTTTATGTCGAAATTGTTCTCTAATTATTAAACTAAGCAGTTGATTTAAATGGATTATTAAATTCAATCGTGTTAAATTATGGATAAGTTTTTCTTAATTTATCCAATTAAACTGCTAGATATCATTATTAAACGACAGATAAGATATGGATTTGGAATTTCTTCCCTTGACTATATGAAATTGGTCTTTCCGATTATTTTCCCTGCTAATCGCCGGCATTTTGTTCGCCGTGCAGGAGGCGTATGTGATGCAGAGGATCGCCGAGTTGCAACGAGAAGGATTGTGGTCGGAACGGCGGTTGCCCAAAGTGCAGGAACCGGCGCGCACCAAGGCCCATTGGGACTACCTGTTGGAAGAAATGGTCTGGTTGGCCGCGGATTTCGCCCAAGAGCGCAAGTGGAAGAAAGCCGCGGCGAAGAAGTGCGCGCGCATGGTACAGAAATATTTCCAGGAGAAGGCGATTCAGGCACAGAAGGCCGAGAAGTCGCAGGAGCTCAGACTGAAGAAGATCGCCAGCTTCGTCGCCAAGGAAATTAAAACTTTTTGGACGAACGTCGAAAAGGTAAGCGGAAGAAACTCGGGGACGTTTAACTGCGTTTTGTTGATTTTGAAAGCTGCAATTATGTACGTTATATGTAGCGTGTTACGATTTTAACATAAATTCAGAGGATCTCGTGTGAAAAGATTCGCGTTCTTGGGGAAAATTCAAATTTTCCTTTTCTAGTTGAAAAAATTATACTTACCAAAAATTATATTTTGATAATAACATTTCATATACACGAGAAAAGCCTGTATATTTTTAACATTGAACGACAGTGTCGTTATCGTTACGCGGTCGTTGCTCAGCTCTTTTGCCATGTTATATCCAAGCCACGACACCGTAATAATAATGATACTGTCGTTAAAAGTTACAGAATTGGAGGTAAAGCGACGTACCCCACACAAATAAGCCGACCTTCTCGACGTATCGTAGTCGGAAGCGTGTGCTCGTTGTGGGAACAGCAAAGTCTGCGCATTGTGTATAGTTGTTTTGTTCTCTAAACTCAACTAAAGATTTCGCGCAGGATACTCGCTACTTATCGAGCTAATCTGGCTTGTTACTTGCTGGGTGATATATTTGTATGTCTATTGGTTGACACAACGTAAAACCTCGGGAATGCTCTCGCCGGTTGAACGTCAGATTTTTCATCTACTCAGCCGTTCTCTCTATAACGCTAATATAACTCCTGTGATATCCGCTGCGTTTTGCTCGCAGTTGGTGGAGTACAAGCAGCAGACGAGATTAGAGGAGAAGCGGAAGAAAGCGTTGGATCAGCACTTGAATTTCATCGTCGGCCAAACGGAGAAATACTCCACGTGGCTGACGGAGGGTCTCAATAAGACCGACGGTCCGCAAAGTATCCCGGCTTCCATGAATAGTTCGCGTATTTCGTCGCCGGTGCCACAGGGAAAAGGCCATTCCGACGGTACGTCCCTCCTCACACACTACCTAATTACTTACCGATTACCTTGATCGCGCGAATTTTGTTGCACTGATCATTTTAATTGTGCTATTTGCGTAAATCGCCTTACCTAAATTGCTAGGTCGTATAACGTACACGTTTGCACTACAGAGGAATTCCAACCGAACCAGAGTTCGGATGACGACGAGGAGACCATAGCCAAGGCCGAGGAGGAGATGAAGTTAACGACTAATCACAAGGAAGAAGTGGAATTATTGAAAAGAGAATCGGAGATACCTCTGGAAGATCTCCTGCGAGAACTTGGGGGGGACTATCTGGAGGATCGCAACAAGAGCCTGTCGCCGCGAGACGCAACGAACGAGGAGCGAAATGTACGTTTCTCGATATATCTAGTTATATTCAAGTAGTTGATTTTAATTGTTATTAAATTATAGTAACCAGTTAATTTAATATCCTTTGTAAATCGTTGATTCCTCAAAGTTTTATCACTCGAACGACCGATGTAATTCTTAGATATTGTTTATCTGTAGGCGCGGAGATTAATTTACATAATTTATAGTAAAATTTATAACGGGAAATTGATAAAAATATTAATAATAATAAATAAATGACGAGCTCTCTAAATGGCGAACTTCGTCGCAGGAAAACGAGGAAGCGGCCGACGGAGATGTCGACTTCATCGCTGCGTCGGGTGAATCCTCTGACGAGGAAGACACCATCATGGAGGAGGAGAGGCTCGAAGGAGATGTCGATCATAAACGGGAACTCGATGAACTCAAGGTACGTCGTTTTTTATTTCAACGTCAGAATGTGGAATGTGGACGCTGCTTGTGAGTCGTTCGTCAGGTTCGAATAAAAATTGTCCTTGCGTTCTGCCAGGCTGACAATGAAATGTCCATCGACGAACTCGCAGCTAAGTACGCTAATATGTCAGAGGAGATGGTGGACATCGACGCGGAGAATGAAGGTTGGTTCTTCATTACATTTTTTATTCATTTTTAAATTATTGCAATTAATATCTTCTTTCTGTTTTAATCACTTTTATTGTGCCATCTCGTCGACATAAATAACCAATGATGATACCATTACCAATTCTGACGGTATGAGACAAGTGGTTCTCACTTATCTCAACTACCACTTTGTGCTGTAAATAGAGGCATTTGTCTGAGAAAATTTCGCGAATTCGCATTGCCGGCGGAATAATCGAACTGTTCGCATTGTCGACTGAACGGGATATTGTTTCTCATTTTGCTCAGGTACCGATAAAGAAATCAGCGATAAGGAAGCAACAAGGGAGAACGAGGAGCAATCCAGTAGCAGTGAGAGTGAGAGCGAGGAAAGCGACGATGAGAGCGGCGATGAAGCGGCTCAGACTCAGAGCGACGCCGAAGAAACGGACGTTGGTCTTCGGTCTCTCCTCGAAGACCCGTCCGGGGAACAACAGTCGGAGAATAAAGTGAGTTACCTTTCTATTTCGATCGCATTTTTTGCGATTAATTCCGAATACATTTTTTTTATCGAAAATTAATGTATTTATTATTATTAATATTTTATTATATATGTTTATTTATTATTTTATTTATTATTAATATTTTTATCAATTTTCTACTAGAAATTTTATTATAAATTTATTATGTAAATTAACTATATTTCAAAATTTAATATTATAAATTAAAATAAAAATAATTAATATGTGTATCTATATTTGATTTTGATTGTCTCCCTTCCTTCTTTATTTTAATAATAAACGATCCTTTTACCCGTTGCTTCGTGAAAATAATTTGCATATCATTACCATAATTGTTTATCTTCTTACAGGTCGCGGAAGCCGACCACTCGGACGCTCGTAACGAAATGGACAACGTCGCCGCGTTGGCCGAGAGCATCCAGCCTAAGGGAAACACGCTACTCACTACCAGTGTAAGTTTCTTCGTATATTACATTTTTTTAAACTATGTTTTTTTGCGCAGACTGTGAGTGAATTAAAGACGTATTTTTTAATTAATTTAGTAGAGGGAGGGAAATGCGGGAAGTGGGAGGCTCACTGGAGCCCGTGGTTTGAAACATATACATGTCCGTGTAATAACAAACAGTCCTTTCGATCCAAAGTGATGCAGCAGTAATTTTGTTCATCGCTATTTCCGAAAGGCAGATCAACGGTGATTCAATTTTCTCACGAATAACGTATTTGTGTTATTCTAGAAAATAATCACTATAAGAACATTGATTTTAACATCGTGTATCTCCGCGTTTTCGCGCTTACAATGTGTCTCGCTTTTCTGTAATAACTTTTAACAAAGCGTTATTTACTTAAGATATGTTAATTATAAATGATTTCTAATGTCATGTACTGTATTGTACGTTTCAGGTTGTCACCAAAATACCCTTCTTGCTGAAACATTCGCTTCGCGAGTATCAGCACATAGGATTGGACTGGCTCGTTACAATGTACGACAGAAAGTTGAACGGTATCTTGGCGGACGAGATGGGTCTAGGTAAAACCATACAGACCATTGCGCTATTGGCGCATCTGGCTTGCGAGAAGGGAAACTGGGGCCCGCATCTCATCATCGTGCCGACCTCTGTGATGCTGAATTGGGAAATGGAATGCAAGAAATGGTGCCCCGGCTTCAAAATACTGACGTATTACGGCACACAGAAGGAGAGGAAACAAAAGAGAACAGGTAACAGCTTAATGCCTCAAAAAGAATTTCATTCCTTTGAGAATTTATTATTTGACTAATTTCATCAAGTTCTTGATTAATTGACTCTACATATCAACTCAATGGATTTTTATTTCTCTATAATTTTCAATTTTTACAAACTTCGTTTCTTCTATAATTTTCAACTTTTACGCGAATTGTTCCTTTGCAGAATAATAATGCGTTATTCAGAGTTAACACGCGACACGTGGTTTCTTTCACGCGTCATTTCTATGTTCGCAGGCTGGACGAAGCCGAACGCCTTCCACATATGCATAACGTCTTACAAGTTAGTCATACAGGATCACCAAAGTTTCAGACGGAAGAAGTGGAAGTATCTTATCCTGGATGAAGCGCAAAATATTAAGAACTTTAAGTCGCAGAGGTGGCAGTTGTTGTTGAATTTTCAAACGCAACGGTAAGTTTGCCGGAGAGGATCTTTCATTGAGCAACAACTATAGAGATATTCTACGGTAGTTCTGTGGGAACGTCGCTGTTTATCGCTTCTCGTTTCGATTTTGCATTGCAGGAGGTTGCTACTCACTGGCACACCCCTTCAAAACAATTTAATGGAGCTGTGGTCGCTCATGCACTTTCTCATGCCTAACGTGTTCCAGTCTCATCGAGAATTCAAGGAGTGGTTCAGTAATCCCGTTACGGGTATGATCGAAGGAAACAGTGAATACAACGAGAACATTATCCGTCGTCTGCACAAGGTCTGTACGTAGTTTTTTTTACCTTGTTTCTTTTCCTTCCTTTCAGTTCTTTATTTATTTATTTTTTTATTATTATTTTATTATTATTTTTATTATTTCCTTTACTTTCAAGTTCCTTACTTTAATATTTGGTATGTTCTTTTGGCTGAACATTCTGTACTTTTCTCTTGTGCTCTGTTTCTTCACTTCTGATGCTCGATTACACACATCGAGGACAAAAAGTGTAACACAGTGCAACCAAAGAGAAACAGACTTACAAAATTAGTCAAATGGTGATGTTACTCGCTGCCGACAACAGACATTAGCTTGCAATGACGCAATGCCTGTATTATTATTGAACAGCGGGATAGCGAAATTCTCCATAAAAAACTCGTGTGTCAAAAATCGATCACCATCTGACATGCGAATCCTGTATGGAGAAACAATAACACTGAACAATAATTGTCCCAATCGATTGATATTTGATATCTTACCTAAAAAGGCTAAAGGGTGAAGAAAATTTCAAGATATAGCGTATCATATGTTGATAAATGAAATTTTCGCGCTAACAATGTGCTGATCAACGATCGTGTTCTTCACAGGTGTTACGGCCGTTTCTCTTGAGACGCTTGAAAACCGAGGTGGAAAAGCAATTGCCGAAGAAATACGAGCACGTGGTAATGTGCCGTTTGTCGAAGCGTCAGAGATTCTTGTACGATGATTTTATGTCGAGGGCCAAGTAAGTAATCTCTCGCCGATGCTGACAATTAGAAACGGAAGGTTCGAAAAGACCTTTCTATTTGTTTGTATTATCCTATGATATCTTTCTTTTATTCGTATATCATCTTTTTATCTCACAATATCTTCCTTTCTATTTGTATCACCGTTTTGTCTTGTATCTTGTAATATCTTCCTTTTTATTCCGCAGTTCCGTATTCTCTTTTCCTTCCTCTTCGCGCCCAAACATCCCATTTATCCCATTTATGCACTCGTTGTTTTATCTTCATTTTAGTCATTTGCGTTATCTAATGTTAATCATGACATCGGCACTGTGAACCTACTCGTTTTATTTTAAAGGACCAGAGAAACGCTCGCGAGCGGCAATCTCTTGAGCGTGATCAATGTATTGATGCAGCTGCGGAAGGTGTGCAACCATCCGAACTTGTTCGAGGTGCGACCGACCGTTTCGCCGTTTCAGATGGAGGCGCTCGAATTCGTGACCGCCTCCTTAGTGTGGACTGCCCTCGACTACGATCCCTTGAAGGTAAATAAAGAAGGGAGGAAAAGCAGAGATACAACGAGGTACACCGTGCTCTCACGCCGGTGTCTCGGACTCTCTAGTATTTAGGAAGCTCTCAAGTGCCAACCGTCACCCGACTTCTTGCGAACGTTTGACTTTGCAGCACATCGATCTGTCTAGCGTGAACCTTTTACTGTTAGATTTGGAGCTGACGCTCAGCGCGTTTGTCGCGCACCGAGTGAGACGACTGCAAACGCCGAGAAAGCTTATAGAGGAAATAGATAACCAGCCGGAACCGGCGCCGCGTTGCCCGTCGGGCCGGATTAAGATTAACGTTAGATTGTCGAATCAGGCGAAACCGTCGCCGTCGAGCGCGCAGCAACAGCAACAGACGCAGACCAAATTGAAGAATCTGGCCGGTGTGCTGCCTACGCCAAGAGTGGGCACGTCGCCCTTCATCAAGTCGTTAAACGCCAGCCAGGCTGGCCCAGGACAAGGTAAGTTTTGTCCTTTTCTTCATGCAATCTCGTTGTATTTGAATTGTGAATTAACTCAATGCTTCTGGGTTTGGTCGTCTAAGTTGGATTTTCAAAACCTTCTAATATTTTAGGGACATCCGCGGTGTGAAGAAGTTCTTAATTTTGGTGTATAGTAATAATAAGTATAATAATAATAATCACTGATCGCCATCACAAGCGAAATACACAATAACTGATGCTTCTAGGAGTAACGCTCCGAGTCGCGGGTGGCCAACAATTGCAAGGGTATTCCGTGCAGCTTGTACAGCACCAGGGTAGCGTGAAAGGTAAGCGATCTTCCGTCTCCATGTTCGAAAAAAAAAAAATGCTCTCGAAGAATCTTCACTTAGGATTAACTTTAGAATTTGCTGCCGAAGCATTAGTATTTGCTCCTTCTCTCTGCCGAGTCATTCCCTGTGTATAATTATATCGATGTAATAATACACGCAAGAAGTTGATCATCTATGCATCATCAATCAGTGGCTGTTGTGAAGTAACTTTCCCTATGCAGTCATTTTTGCAGTGGTGCTAGAACAACCGTCCCTTAGGCCAGCTTGTTTATAATCTCACCGTTTATAAGCATTCTAGAACTAAGGGCACAAGATATATATGATACACATGACTCTGCAGACGCGGCAAAGCTCCTCACAATCTATTAATTCACAACGTAAAGTCTCAGATTCAAAACGAATTTCAACATGAGTAAATCCGCGTTGGTACTGACGATGCCTTTGTGCTCTTGTTGTTGTGACAGCTATTCCAATGGCAACGTTGGCGCACAATCCGCAAAGCACCACCACTGTGACGTCGACTACTGCGGCGACGAACGCTCAGAGGATCACAGTGGGCAACGCCAACATCAGGGATGGCCTGCAGCGGCTGACCGCGCAGACTGTCACGGTCAAGCAAGGCGATTCCGTCCAGAGGATAGCGATGCCCAGTTTCGCGCAGCTGGTCCAAACTTCGAGCGGTAGACATATCATTCTTACGTCGAACCAGCAGAACACGAACGCAGGTATGCGTCTCTCGGCGACACGTTGGTCGGTCCCACCTGTGTGCATCACGAGAACCCGTCGTCATCTGCTGTCATCGGTTAGAGGATAAAAAATAGTAACATCTTTTGTACTCTCAGTCTCGTTTCCAGTAATGACGAGCGGTCCGCGCCTCACGGTGTTGTCGAAATCTCTGATGGGCCTGCCCTCCTCGGCAGCCGCTGTTAACAAGGTCGTCGGCAGCGTGGTGACTACCACCAGTGGCAGGCCCGTTATGAGGGTGCCACCTCTGAACGTTAGCCATGCCTCGCAGATACAATCGTCCAGTGGAAACGGCGGCCAACAACCGCAGCCGATACGCAGTATCGTGACCAGACAGGCTCAGAAGGAAGCAATCAAGGCGCAAGTGAAGGAACAGCCCAAATCTGAGTTCCATTTGGTAATATATTCACACGTGCCTCCTTTCCTCTTTTTTTTTTTTTTCTTTCTTTCTTTCTTTCTTTAACGTGCTGGTTTCTTTCCAGCCGCAGTTGGAAGAAGAGAGACGGCAAAGACGGCAAGCCAAGTTGCGTTTCATAACGAACATCAACGAACGGAGATGCGCGGCGTGTCCGCTTTACGGCGAGGACCTGTTCATGGCGTTGAGAATAGGCAAGCCGGCGACGGCTTGCCCTTGGCACAACGGCTGGATGCACTGCGCTACGATGAAGCAGAGCACACGGACTCGCCGTGAGTTCTTCTCTCGCACGGAGGCGCTTGCGGAGGCCATCAAGTCCACGGAGCGGATCGTCGAGGAGCTCAAGGAAGTCTTCGAGAGGTTGTTATCTCGTCTAACTCGCGTCTCCTTTCTTTTTCTCGCCAGTTCTAGTTTCAGGCTGATTGGCTGAGAAGCCGCATTTGAGGCACTTTAGTCGTGTTAGTTCGGAATGTTGACCTTGTACACCCGATCTATCGTTTCGTGGTTGTCTTTTATCTCCAAAACTCGAATGGAAGACGAAGAGTGCACGTTTTTTACTCAAGTTTGTGAAATTAAACGATGAATTATGTAATCAGACTTTTCTTTCTTTCGACGTTCGTGCAGATTCGTGGTGCACGTGCCGGCAGTGCGCGCGCCGGTACCCCGGTTCCACGTGTCCCACCCGCCGCCGCACAAGTTGTGGAACGAGCGGCGCCTACGAGTGGAACTGCAGCACCAACTGTCGCCGAAGTTCGTCCTGCTCCATTCGATCACGAGTCGCATGCTGACGCAATTCCCCGATCCGAGACTGATCCAATACGACTGCGGCAAGCTGCAGTCGCTGGACCGTCTGTTGAGGAAGCTCAAGACCGAGAATCACCGGGTCCTTATATTCACGCAGATGACCAGAATGTTGGACGTGCTCGAGGCTTTCCTCAATTTCCACGGTCACATTTACCTACGACTGGACGGCACCACGCGGGTGGATCAGCGTCAGGTGAGGATCCGAGCGAAGTTTGTTCCGATTTCCATGGACGAGATGAATGAATGAAACTTCAAGTAGTTGGTCCGTGATACTTATTAGAAAGATCAATTTGAAAGGTCAATCTTTTTCTAATTTTACAATGTATGTAGATCGTGCTTCGATTAATATGTTGTTAAAATTAAAAGATCCCTAAGCATATTAATTTACAGACCAGCTACTTTAAAGAACAATGAATGAATACAATTTGACGTGCAGGTCTTGATGGAGCGGTTCAACGGCGATAAGCGGATATTCTGCTTCATTCTGTCGACAAGATCCGGCGGCGTCGGCGTCAATCTGACGGGGGCGGACACGGTGATATTTTACGACAGCGACTGGAACCCCACGATGGACGCCCAAGCACAGGACAGATGCCACCGAATAGGGCAAACGCGAGATGTGCATATCTACAGGTACGTGCACTAATTAACCCTTATCGGTCGTAAGTCACCTCTCACGTGACAACAATACTTCGTCGCTGCGGTCGTACGTCATGTAGGAGGTGACAAGTTCGCATATTTACCGAAACCAGCTACAACCTAGTGAGAATCACGCATAAAAAGCTAGCGTCCGATAAGGGTTAATACATCGGTGTGAAGAAATTATTTAGTAACTTGTTGGGAAATATGGGAACGTTTTCAAAGAAGATGAAGGGCACAATGACAAGAGCCGTCGTGATTGTTCACATTTCAGATTGGTCAGTGAGAAGACCGTGGAAGAAAACATTCTGAAGAAGGCGAATCAAAAACGATTGCTGGGAGACCTCGCCATAGAAGGCGGAAACTTCACCACGGCGTACTTCAAAAGTGTAAGTACTGTCTTTCAAGCTCAAGTTGTTGAAATAATCTTTCTCACAGAATGTGGCTCTCATTTTTTGACAGATTATAGGAAATTGGATACATAAGACTTTATATAACGATTACACTATCCTTTCCAGTCGACCATTCAAGATCTCTTCAACATCGACCAAACGGAGAACGATCCGTCGGCGCGGATGGCTGAGGTGCTGGAGCAGAGCCGAGACCGGGAGAAAGTCGGTAGCAAGGACGCGCCCTTTCACGGCGCATCTTCCTCGACGTCTCAGCATACAGAGGAGAAGGTGGCCATTGGCGCCTTGGAGAGCGCCCTCGCTGCCGCCGAGGAGGATCTCGACGTGCAAGCAGCGAAGACCGCCAAGGCGGAGGCAGTCGCCGATCTCGCCGAGTTCGACGAGAACATTCCGCTGGACGATGCTGACAAGGACGACGCGCAAGTCAGCAAGGCGGAACAGGAAGTTCAACATCTGGTTTCTCAGGTATAGACGAACGTTTTCATCTCGAGGTCATGCTGGTTTGTCTGTAATATTAACCAAGCACTTTTCCTTTTCTCTCTCTCTCTCTCGTCCTACTCTGCCAGAGAGAATTCAACGTTCAACTTCGATTTTGTCGTTTCCAGCTGCGACGTTCTCTTAATACAATACCAAGTTCGCAATCTCACATGTATATACAATACTAAATTGACATCGTCAACATTGTCATATCGATCAGTAATCATGTGGCTTATCCTTAGCGACGAAAACGCGAAAAGAAAAAGTTCCGGGCGATTTTAGACGAATCATTTCGGAATGAATCGCTAATCGTTCCTACTTGCCTGCCAGTTGACGCCGATCGAGCGGTACGCGATGCGATTCATCGAAGAGTCCGAGGGCTCCTTCTCGACGGCGCAGCTGGCCGCCGCCGAGCGCGAACTGGAGGAGCAGAAGAAGGAGTGGGAGCTGGACCGGTTGCGGGCGCTGCGGGAGGAGGAGGAGCGGCGCATGCGGCTGGCGGACGACGACGAGGAGAAGCCGCTGACGTTCGGCCGCGAGGACGCCCAGAATCAGGTTAATAGCGCCGCTGCGAACAGGAGCGGTCCGAAGCGTTTAGTTAATAAGAGGTTACCGGTACCGAGTAGAAGAAGTTCGCGTAGACGCGGCGGCGGCGGCGGCGGTGGTGTTCGTAACGCTCGTGGTAGGGCCCGGCGCGAGTCGTCGTCGCGAAGCGAGAGCGAGACCACGACCAGCACGGAGTCGGAGTCGGAATCGGAGTCGCAGGAGGAGGAGGACGTGGTGGAGGACAGCCTCGACGAGGAGTCCAGCCACACCGAGAGTCAGAGTCAGGGTGACGAGGGCGAAGGGGAGGAGGAGGGCGACAAGGGCGACGACGAGGGAGAGGAGGAGGAGGACGCTAGCGAGGGGAACGAGGACAGCAGAGCGAACAGCAACGGTGGTAACGACGCCGAGCGGGGGGAGGGTCTGCCGAGACGGAGGGGCCGTTTGGCCGGCGGTACTTGCGGTCGCAATCACTTCGACCTGAACAGCCCTCGCACGAGGTCCCGGGGCAACGTTAAGATCAATCTGTGGACCCTGGACGTCAGTCCTATTCTGCCGGGCGTCAAGCCGAATTGCCGTCGGCAGCAGCCGCAGCGCAGCAGCAAGTTCCGCCGCGTCAAGTTCGAGAGAACCCTCTCCTCGACGCTGACGGCGTCGTCGGTGGTCGTGGCCAAGAGGAGGACTCGCATCGGGGCGAATGCTAAGACGAAGACTGAGGCGACTACAGGGGAGGAGCGAGAGTCGTCGAAGGACGATCGGGACTCCTCGTCGTCGTCGAAGGGTGATCGGGGCTCGTTGAGGAAAGATCGCGACTCGACAAGGGACGATCGAGGCCCGTTGAGGGACGAGAACGATCCAGCCGTGATCGAGGATTCGGCGAAGAACGACTTGACGAAAGGTAGCGATCTCGACTTGTCGAGGGACGACGCTGATTCGTCGAACGATCGAGGCGCGCCGACGAGCGATCGTGGCCCCGCGGAGGACGACTGCTCGACGGCGTCCTCGAACGGCGTAGAGCAACACGTTGCCGACGTCGACGCGGAGCGAGCTGCCGATGAACGCGCGACGACACCGGTCGCGCCGGCTGACCACGCGAAGTCGACGGAGTCGTCGACGAGGTCTGATCACGCGGAGCAGGCTGTCAAGGAGGAGAAAGAGAGGGAGAGGAGCAGCGACAAGATCGTCCGCGTCGTTAACCAGGTGTCGACGGTCTGCTCTGTCCAGGTGACGCGCTGCTCGGCGAAGTTGTCGTCCACGGGCTACCGGAAGCTCGGGCCCGAGGTGAATCGCAACGAGGACGCGGAGAACCTCGACGTGAACGTCAACACGAGAGACTCCTCGCTACCCTCGCCGGGCGCCGCGCCGTCGGACGTTTCGCTGAAGCGCGCGAAAGAGACTACCACGACGACGACGATGCGCGACGTCAGGTCCATAGCCGAGATAGTCGTGTCGGCGAATTCCCTGTTCAACAATTCGCGCGTGAAACTGAACGTGGCGGCTTCGAAGGAGCCGGAGAAGGGCGATTCGCCCGCGAATCGCTCGGTCCCGCTCCTACGCTCGAAGGCGCTGCGGGACGGCAGTCCTGACGTCTCGTCGTCCTCGTCGACCAGCGACAAAATCACCGTCAAGACCGCCGCGGTGCCTCGCGTCCCCGTCGCCCAGAAGAACCCCAAACCCGCGAACACCACCGACGACGCCTCGTCGAATAACGACGAGGACGACGCGCGACGCACCGACGAGGGGGAGAACGACGACAACGACGTCGAGCCGACGGCAACGCCCGTAACGCGAAAGCATGCTAGTCAGAGATACAATAACTCGAAGAGCGAGAACGCGGACTCGGAGAGGAGAGGGCTAGAAAACGAGCCTGCAGTGTCCCCGAACTCGGCGTCCTCCGACTGCTCGACAGCTGCCGCGAAGAGCGAGACGAGTCCCGGCGAGTCCAGGTGCAAGATGCGGAAGATCGTGCTGGACGCGAGCGGGAACTCGCGAGGCGTGACGACTCGCAGCTCGAAGCTCTCCCCGGTGGCCAACGCTCGCTCCGAAGAAGGCGGCGGAAGCAACACGCGGATAACGGAGGACAAGGTCGAGCCGGAGGCGGCCAAGAACAGTCCGCAGCAATCTAAAGTGAACCAGACCTCGCGAAAGAGCGACGTTTCGTCGCCCACCTCTTCTTCCCCGCCGCAGTCCGTCGCCGAGCAGAGCAAAGTCACGCGATCGACGACGGGTGCTCGGCCGTTCACGCCGCCGCTGCTCGGCGAGGCGCGCGGCTCCCCGTCGCGGCTGATCAGCGCGAAGCGACGGCCCGACACTCCGCTGCCTCGCCCGGTCACGAGATCCGCGGCGACCGTCGTCACCTTCGGCGCCACGACGACGATCGATGACGCGAATGCCTCGTCCTCGTCCGCCTGCCGGGGTGAGAAACACGCCACCCGGCAGAACTCCAAGCTGTCCTCATGCCAGGACAACGGCTTCGTGAGTCCGCTGCCGTTCCGACGCAGCAGGTCGATACCGCTGATGAAGCCGGAAGCGGCGAGCAAAGAGCCGGTCACGGCGGAGCGAGCCTCGGTCATCCACCTGAAGCGTCGCCCGGACACCCCGCGGCCGATGAACGACGAGCAACCGGCGCCCCGGGTGACTCGTTCCGGCCTGACCTTGAATTCCGCCGCGAAAGCCTCGTCCTGCCCGCCGCGAGCGAGCGGCAAGACATCGGCGGGCCGAGGCTCGCCCACGCGGGAGCCGAACGAGAGCCCAGCGACGCCTTCTTCGTACGCGTACGAGAAGCCGCAGCGGACCGCCAAGGTCGTCGCTATCCTCACCTTGGACACGAGGAGCAATCACCAGCACCACAACAGCAAGGCTCCCTCCTCGATCCAGCCCAAGTCCGCCAACTACACCGCCGGTGGTGGCGGCAGCAGCGCCGGCAACCCCCCGGAGGCGAAGGAGGTCTTCGTGACGCGATTGTCGGACTCTCTGAAGGAACAGGAGGCCGCCGACTCCGAAGGCTACGACTCGTCCCCGGACTCCAAGTCCAAGAGGCTGCGCAGGGGGGAGAGCAAGCGCGCCAGGATAGTCTCGTATCTCGAGAACGAGGACGGCCAGCTGGACGAAGAGGACGGGCTGCCGTTGAAGAGGGTCGCCGTCCGCGCCTCGAGCCACTTCTCCGCGCCAACTCAGACGCGCTCGGAGAAACTGAGGAACAACGCCACGATATCTTGAGCCTCGCTGATGAAGCTTCATCGGTTGTTGCTGTTCTCATCGTCGCTGCCACCGCCGCCGACGACGACACGAGTCGTTCCGTCGCGAACGCTGTTGTTACCGTCGCTCGACTCGGTCGCGCGTAGCTTGCCTACTACTATATGCGCATGACGCCGCCCCGAGCCTCGCCGTCGCGCGAAGAGAGACGACCCTACTTCGTAGAGAGAGAGAGAGAGAGAGAGACATTTGCGAATTCTCGCGTGCGCTGATAACGATCGACGCGTTATCCGTCGCCGACACTCCCGCCGCGCTCAGCGTCAAACGCCTGGTCGAAGAGCGACCGCTCGATATGCCAGACGAGAGGAAAGCCTCGGGCTGATTTTCCTTACCTATATATATAAATATATAAATATGTATGAAACACAATTTTCAAGAACGAGAACTTCGCAGGGAAAAGAGAGAGAGAGAGAGAGAGAACATTTCACGTGACGGCATCTCCGCGATAGAGAAACGAGCTTGGTGTAACGAAATTCCACGCGGGAAGGGTGACTCGCAGTAGCCCTGTGGAGGGTACTTTCCCGACGGTCATGAAACCGACGGGAGCTCACCGCACAGCACAGAACGTGGAGGGAAGCGGAGAGGAGGGAATCGAGCGGACCCGTTTGACGCTAAACGCGGCGAGTGCTTGTCGTCCTTGTACATAATCACACGAACTACGATCTAACGATTTAAGCGATGAGTTTCCTCCGTTGTACTCCCCCCCCCCCTCCTCGGAAGTACACGTTGTAATATTTGTAGCGTTGTAAATTGTGCTCTGTGGCCGCCGCCCCTCTTCTCATTACCGTCTCATCTCGTCACCATCATCTCATCTCATCCGGTTCGGTTTACCGAGACGACGGGTCCGTCCTTTTTAACTGTACTTTCCGCTCTAATTCGCCGTTCCCTCTCGTCTCCCGATCCTCCTCCCCGTCTCCTAATCCCGGATGGATGAACCGTGACTGAACCGTGACTGAAACGCGGGGGCGAGTGCAGATAAGAAGGACCGATTCTTTTGTGCGCAGGTGTCCACCGCTACTTGCGATTTATACACACACACACACACAGCCGTGTCAATGACACAGGCGTGACGAGAATAATACGAAAGGGTGTATTATATTAGGAAAAGTGGTCGTGCTACACCCACACATATACACATCTACACATACAAATACTCATACGTATACAATACAGTCACACACGTGTAGAACTTTAGTCGAGCGGTTTCCTAGTGTGCCACGCTAGACGATTCACACAACACGTACACTCCAATAACGATGACACGTCACGATCGAGAACGCGTAGTGAAGTCTGAAGAAGAGGTCGTTGAGGTGCGAACGGTGCGCACAGATTGAAACGACTCGATTTTACCCTGACCATTTGCGCCGTCCGACACGACGGTTCAAATCCTTCAACGACTCACTCTAGTGAGATCCGTTTCGTTCCTTTCTTCTCTTTTTCCGGAAATTCATTCATAGAGAAACTCTGAGAAAACCAAATTGGACGATTCATTCGAATGACCGAAGAGGAATAACGATCAGCAGTAAAGTAATCAGCAGGTAGTGCAAGTTCTACGAGTTCTTTCTTACCGTAGAAGTAACGATTGAGAGTCCGGGTCTGATCCATCTTTCTGAGAAACTCAGGAAGTGAAATTTCGAATTACGTTTATTCCGACAAGTCGGAGAACAGTCGATTGAATTATCGCGCAGATATATGTATTCAATGTGAGATACGCTAATGAGACCGAACTTGAGTTTATATAGTAATCGAACTAGAATAATCGATGCTGTACGAGATAACTGTGTAGCGCTATTCTCTTAGGGAACCGGCCAAGGGAGGCGGTCGTCAAAGCGTTTTGCTGTCGAATCAAGAAGACCGCGCGACGCGTACGTGTGTACTCGCACACTCGAGTCGGTCCAAGCCAGTATTTCGCTCGTTCAATCGTACATAACCGACATACATTACCGTATTCCCGATCTCTCCAACTTGGAATTGTCTTTTCTCAAATGAGAGAAGAGCCGACAGAATCTCGTCGTCGGGGAGACGGCGGATGGTCAGGGTGATAGGAAAGGTCACGCAGTTCTTATATCAGGCGGTCATTTATCCGCGCTAAAGGGAAAAAACGGCGAGCAAGCAGTCGAAACGAGGAAGGACCTCGGTGTCGTACTTCGGTAACGCCTCGTACTACGTAAACTCGCAAGACGATCACCTGACTATCCATTATATATATATATA